GATCGGCTGAATTACCATCCTCCGCCTATGTATTTTCAGAACGGCCACTTCCTGGGCCGGCGCGGCGCGCGATGCAGCATCGGGGACGAGCAGGTAACTCGTCCGATCGCGTGCAGCCCGCGCGACGATAATGACCGAGAATCAAGGTAACAGTACGCCGAGATCAAGTCCATAAACCATCCTCCTCGAGGGCTGGCTTTAACCGAAGACCCGCTGCCAGCCGTGGAGAGAACACTTTCCACGTAGCGCGCGCGCGGCTTGGCTCGTTCGGGTAATTTATAGTCGCGTTATGTTCGCGCGAGATTAACAGTTTACCGGCCGATCCCGTTCGACCGAGCCAGATCACGACCGGCGGTGTGGAAGGTGTTCTGCGAAACGTCTTTCGGTCTCGTTACCGCCTCTTACCTCGAATCTCTCGTCGTTCGATGGCAGCGATGACGCAGATATACGCAGTCGTTGGAAATATGTGTTTCTCGGCAGAGTGTGCGTTTCACTGTCTCTTGTCACATATCGCACCCTTATGAAAAATCTGTCGCGAGTTGGAAATTTTCGCGGAGAGCGAAAGGAAAGTTGCTTAGTTGAAAATTAAAAGATTTTGTTAATTATTCGCTTGAAGGATTACACAAATTTATCAATATTCGAAAATGAAAAATTTTCACTCGTCACACTTTTCTCGCAAGAGTGTGACGTTACCTATCGCGAATCAAAGTCGCGCTTTTCCCCAAAATTCCTGACAATTTCCCATCAATCGATATCTCGGTTTCACTCACGCTCGGCATTGCCAGGAAATAAAAATTGAAAGCAAACGAACACCACTTCCTCTTCAACCCTCCGTAAAATAGCATCCTATCTCCGGTTTCGATCCTTACGTATCATTTTCCCCAAGATATCGCGGGCACAGCGTAGTGTGACAGACAGTAAACTGACCAGCGAACGTGTATTCTGAATAAGCAGCTCGATCGGCCCATAAATTTCCAGCGATACCGTGCACCGGTGGTGGCAGCCTAGCTCGAGCGTGCTTCCGATATGTACGATGTCGGGTCTCGAGTCCGAGGCACGGCCTTAAATTTCCTTTAGACGCGATTAAACAAGAAAAGGGGGGCAGGCAACCGCGGCGAACTAGGGGAGAAGAGAGAAAAAGAGAAGGCGAACAAGATAGAGATTAGAGCACGTGAAAGTTTCGCGTCGACGATACCTCGGTCTAATGTACCGTTATGATCTTTACGGGGGGCCTTATATTGGCCGTTACGATTGAGTTTTCACACCGGCGAAGAGAATTCGCGAGAAATATTTTTCTCTCCTCGTTCCATAGAAGTCAATCTCTTCGAGGCAGTTGTGCCCGTCGTCGTAATTATCGAATCTAAGAGACGGATCGTTTGGCGCTGTAGTTAATCGAAGAAGAGAGAGGGAAAAAGGAAGAAAAATAAGAGAAGCTCGTTAATCGTAGAGCTTGGCCCTCTTTCGAGCCGCGCGTTTCCACGTTTAATTGCGTCGCGCGCGTGTAATTTCCACTCGGCGACCGCGTCCGACGTAAATGAAAATCGCTGGCTAACAGGATCATCAGGGACGAATTAAGCAAATTTGCTGCAATCGCCAAGGCGGCCCAGGATCTTTAATTAACGAAGCTTATTTTAATCATCCCCGATCAGCCGTGATAATCGCGCACTCTTGCGAAACCTCTCTCCTCTTTCTGTCCCTGTGAACGCGGTTTATCGTGAATTTCACGGCGTCGAGTATCACTGTGTAAGAGCGAAATTAATCCATGTTTTCCTTCCCTCTCTCTCCTTCTCCTCTTTTTTCCGAAATTATCCATGCCAGTATTAAGGAGATATTATCTTTCATTTTCGCAAAAAGTAACGCCGGTAGATCGCTACTATGACGAAGATAAGACAAACTGCTTCTATACAGGGTGCTTCGATGAAACTTCGTACCTTCGACATTTTTTAAACTTCATCAAAAAAGGGAAGAATTTCAGAAATAATAAATTGCTCGATAAAAAACAAGTTTCGTTGGAAAAAACTTTCTTCTCCGACTTTGTCCGACGTTGTCTGTAAAAATACACGAGATAATAGTTGGCTACCGGTTCACCCCGTATAGAAAAAGCAGTCGAGCAACGGGCTGCAATTAAGTTCACGCGACAGAATGCGTAATGTGTCCTATAAATCGAGGCGATCAGGCAGCTTTGTATTACACTTTCGAGGCTCTTGGATGATTATCTGTATAGAGGAGGAGGAGGAGAGAGAGAGAGAGAGAGAGGCTGTACCTTCGACAAGAAGCGTGTTAATTTTCCCCGGTTGGCCCCTGTTTCGGGATCGCTATGATCGACGACGTTGCTCCCATGGGTGCTCGTATTTATGGGGCTCGAGATTAGCTCGCGAGACCCAGGCGTAACCTTTGCAGGAGCGACGCGAGGAAGAGACTTTTACGGCATCGCGACGCGATCGAACAACGTTATCGTCCAGGCTGCCGCATGAGTAGCTTTATTGCCTCGCTTCAACCCTTTTCTCCACGTACTTTTGCATTCTCCTTGAGGTTAAAGAACGGTGCAACGTTTTATGTAGCTTCTCATTTTTAACACTTTTAGCAAGAAAACGATTTATAGCACAAAATTCGTACGCTTTAACCCGAGTCTATTGGCCACTTCTCCTCGACCAATACTTTGTCCCTCCCAACGAAACGAATCTTTCTTCCAAACGAATCATCCCCTTTCTATCTCTTCCCTCCATCCACGACCAACCGTTCTAAAAATGTCCAGCGTACGATTATCCACGAGATACCAAGAGCCTCTCTCGGTCAACCATGGAGAGATCGAAAGAAGAGAAAGAACGGCACTAAAGATTAAAACCTCCACTAAAAGCTATTTCCACCATACACGTGGTAAACGCTGCACGTAATTCGCGCATTAACCGAAACCGGACGAGCCCGCGGCGCCACAGAAACCGCCATAACGATCGTCAGCGGTGTTCCACGCGAGACTCCTAAATATTTAGCGATGCCTGGCCTGTATGCGACCGTACATACGTACACCACGGCCTAGCACCAGTCTTCCCCGCTTCGTTTCATTATTTCACCGTTCAATTAGTGAAACAAAACCTGTGCGAGGTTCGATCGGTTTTGCAATTCATAAACCAGATAAAGTGGCGGGAAAGGGAACGAGAGAAGGGGAGACGCATTATCGTGCAGCTCCCAGAGAGCATTATTTTCGAGATAGCAATCGCCGCGATTCCCTTAATGAGTAACGCTCGATCGAGCAATGATTTCGCCGGATTTCGAAATCGTCCGAGCACAACCGAGTTGGATCAAACTGTCTGGCCCGTGGTACCCTTCTATCCACCGTCGCTCTACGACGACCAGCCGAAACCAGGGGGTAGATAAAATCTGTATTACGTTTAGGGACGCGTGTGTACGTTCTCCGTCACTCTGCAAACCTATTAACGTGTGCGTACACGCGTTGCATCGCGACGTATATTAGAGAGAGAGAGAGAGAGGGAAACAGAGATACGTAGAGAGAGGATCGTCCTGGATCCTCCTGGTGATTT